CCAATAAAACCTCTCCTAACACAATCTAGCTTGAAAAAAATGGTGTTCTGAATCGATTTTAATTTTACGCTGGTTTCTCAGTTTATAGTGTAGCAGAGTGGATATTTAGAATTTTTATTTTTATTTAATCGATGCACTACTAATTTTTATGCATTTTTGGTTATTTCTTTCGATTTCTGTGTAGGAGAAATTTCTCAATGAGCAAATGGAAGAAAGAGAATTAGAACGAGAAGAATTCCGTACCGAATTAAATCGTCTGAAAAATGAACTTGAAACGAGAAAGTTAGTTTCCTTTTACAGTATATCATGTTATTTTATGTAATGGTAGAGTTGTCAATTGATTAAATCAATCAATGATAGGTGTATTGGTTTAGTTCATGCTTTACTATTCTTGTGCTGAATAAAAGTCGTCGAATAAAGATTTACTACTTCGATGTCAACATTTCACGTAACTCGATGTATTCTGCATATATATTATGTGAACGATTTAGTTAGGGCTTCAACAATTTATTTTTCGTTACATTATAAGATGGTAGTTGATTAATAATGCACTTGTTTTTTAATCGATTGGTTGTGAAGTACAAAGTATTCACTTTTCACATAATCAACTGGATTTCGTGAACTGCTTTCTGTTCAACAGGAATATGTAACGTCGTTTGTTCCATCCCATGACCAGTTTATACCAAATAGTCTTATAGTTGTATTGATTAACTTTACTGCATACTTTATTTGTACAGGTCACAAGTGATTTCAAGTAAATTCATGAATTCTGGTGATACTGATTTCTGTACTACACCGTTGAGTATGGAAGAAACAGAACAAAATAATTTCACATCTCATAAGATGGTTGATTTGAAAATGGAAAATTTATGTCAAAATGATTCTATCAAATCAAATGTTCAATCATTTATACAATCTAAATCATGGAATAAACGTAATGATTCTGATGAAGATATAGTGAACGGAAATTTAAATGAAATAACAACACGGAATCAATATAAATGTGTTGATCAACAGAATGACTGGCCACCTTATACTATTCCAACAATGAATAAGAATAATACTTGCCTTGATTCAATGACAAATACATCTGAAAGTCACAGTATTCAAAATTATGCTAATGAAGTCGAAACAAAACAGGTGAAATTGATCGATGATTCCAGTGTTTACATACAGAATAAATGGAATCATTGTGATGCTTGTACACAGGTTAGTAGCAGTGTGATGTAACATTACCAATTCTACTTGTACATAGATCTCTTACGACCGTTTTTTATTTCAACACCTTAACATTGTTGCAAAGGGACACCAAAAATACATGCACCGTTCAAATGGTTGTATTTTTTTGGACTGGGACACTGCTCAGGCTGTTGAACCGGAGTATGTGATTTCCGTAAGGTCCACTCCCCAAGCCTTTGACCTAGAGGTCTATCTATAGGACGGTGAAGCAACGTCAGGAGATGCGTTCTGTGGTAACTGGCGACCAACAATATGTTGGTAACTTATTTGTTCCCTCATGATACTGAAGTTCATGTGTAAAAATAGTTTGGAATCGGGATTTTCCGATTAGTCTAGGTGGATCTTTTGCAATCACTATTCGGGTTAGGTTTTCAAATAAACCGCTTCTTATCCCCTCAATTTAACAGAATGTTTGTAGAAGCACAGTGAACTCTTTTGAGTTTCCGACGTAACCTGGCATTTGTCCGTCAGTACCTTTGATGAAAAGTAACAGTCGTTAGTTTGACTATTTAAAATCCATCCATCATTATTACACTATGTGATCTGTAATTACGTTTACAAGATGTTTACAAGGCAACTGCTACGTAGAATTTAGTACCTGCGTACATCGGCTCAAGTTGCGATACCTCGTTAGCCCAGAGATACGGGATTATCAGCTGGAGCCCATACTTGTGAAGGAAGTAGTGGTATTAGCTGTAAAGAAAAAGGTTGTGGAATGTAGATCCAATTCGAGAAGTATAACCCGATGGAATGAATTTAAGAATTTGAAGATTAAAATTCGAGAGGTGACGAAGAATGGATGCATCTGCCTTGTTACAATCGATTTTGAGCCATATCATTCAAGGTCTGTGATCTACACCTACCGAAATGACTCATTCCAGTTGTGAATGACTTCATGGATTTGTGCCATGTTTTGGTCTGGGCATCTTTAGCTCTTTTCTAGCCCACTCCTACATCATAAAACATCACTCTATGAGGTAGTCGGTGGTTAGGCATACGTAACACATGTCTCAACCACGGATATCTCTCGTACGCCGTAAGTGACGTAAGTTGGCCAAAGCCAGTAGGATCTTTGGTGTCCGTGCTGAGATTTCGTCATTCACCAGGCCATCAGCACTGATGAGACTATCGAGATAAGTGGAGCGACCAACACGCTCAACTGGTTTACTCCCTATCACTAGTTCAGGTGTCCATGCAAGCCTATCCTGAAGCAACATTTTGCATTTCGAGGGGGAAAACCGCATCCCGAACATGCTTGCATTGTTGCTTAGGGTAGTGAGAAGGCTGCATTTTGTCAGCGTCTTCGTCATCAGCGTACTCTAAGTCAACAAGCATGTATCCTGGTAGAAGTTCCACCCCTGAAAAGTCAGACGAAGATAATGTTGTCTCTAAAAGCATGTCTATGACATATTTAAACAAGCATGGAGAAATCGGACATCTGACGGACACAACCTGAAGAAATGGAATCCCGATGACGTTTCGGCATTAGCCTGACTCGGCCAATGGTGTCTGAGTAGATAGCTTGTATAAGGTAATGTACTTCTTTGGTATATCTTTGAATGACAGATACTGCCACAGAACCTGACGATCAATAGAGTTGCACACCACCTTGGGGTCACGGAATTCAACTATTGTCGGACTTCGAAATGTGTGTCTGTTCTTGCACCTGACGTAGTGTGAATATGTGGTCCAGCTCTAAAACCGTCCTAGTTTTCTCGATTCTGCTCTTCGCGAATTAGTCATCTAAGTATTATCGAGGCTAACAATTTAGACACTACATTAATTAAAGTGATTCGTCTGTGATTGTCACAAGAGGACTTTTGTCCTTTGTGATTGACAGGGACAACCGGTGATTGAGAACAGTTAGATGGGGTTATTTCCAGTTCCTAGATTCTACCTAAGATCTCAGTCAATCCCACTGTCGAATTTGGACCACCATCCCTAAAGATCTCAGTTGTTGGACAGCGCACCAGTAACTACTTACTGGAATCTTTCCTAAGACTGCTAGTTCGGCTCTAGTACTCAGTACTATCAGTAAGGCAAATGTTTTCGAAATTATGGTTCACATGATGTGTGATAGTCAGTTGTGAAATGAGTGAATGCCATTGAAGCTATTGTATATAGGAATACTCAAATACCCAATCACCACAACAGTTGTTGTTTGAATGATCGATTATGACATTTCCGAGGATATCTCGTGATTCGATTGTTTTGATTCCTCGTCTCTAATGGCTTTTACAGTGTCATTAAAATCATATGATTACCTTCAATGAGAAACGAAGTTGACATTCTGTTGAAAAAAAACGAAAACATCAACTTCGTGCTAACCACAAGTGGTTATTACATACTTCTATATTCGAATTTTCATTTGGCTGCAATGAAAAGATGAATTTTAGTTTCACTATATTCCATTTTTCGAAATATGAATTCGATTTTATTGGTGAAAATTGACTTTGAAAAGCATGTGTTTATAAGTTTCATTACCCTTTGTGAAGTTGAGAAAGCGTTAGGAAATCTGAAGCGAAGGCAAGCTGCAGGTCCTGATAGACTGACCCTTGAGATATTTAAGGATGGTGGTCCAGTTTTAGCAGCTAGGTTGACTGAGATCTTAGGTAGAATCTGGGAACTGGACTTAATCACTTTAAAGTGGTCTCAATCACTGATTTTCTCAATCTATAAAAAAAGGTGCAAGTCTTCTTGTGACAATCACAGGGGGAATAAGTCTAACTAATATATTATCTAAAATATTGGCCTCAATAATACTTCGAAGCTTAACGAAAGCTCGTGAAGAGCAAACTCGAGAAAACCAGTCTGGTTTTCGACCTGGACGTGGTTGTATAGACCACATCTTCACACTAAGACAGGTCCAGGAACACAGGTATACATTTAGGCGCCCGACAATAGTTGTCTTCCTGGACCTAAAAGCGGCATTTGACTCTGTGGATCGTGAGGTTCTGTGGCAGTGTCTGTCATTGAAAGGTGTACCAAAGAGGTACATTAACCTTATACAAGCTCTCTACTCGAACACCACTGGTCGAGTGAGGGCTTATGGCGAACTGTCATCGGAATTCTTTACTTCAAGTGATGTCCGTCAGGGATGTCCACTTTCTTCATTCTTGTTTAATTTTATCATAGACATACTCCTAGATATAACCTTATCGTCGTCTGAATTTTCAGGAGTAGACCTTTTACCAGGAGGCTCGCTTATTGACTTAGAATATGCCGATGACATAGTCCTACTTGGTGAAGACGCTGACAAAATGCAGAGTCTTCTGACCACCCTAAGCAACAATGCAAGCATGTTCGGGATGCGGTTTTCCCCCTCGAAACGCAAAATGTTGCTTCAAGATTGGGTTGCATCGGCACCTAAACTTTTCTCACTGAATCATACTTCTTGAATAATATCTAATCCTAACCTCTCTGATTACTTCTAATACCTTTACTACCTCTTCTACTATTGGATTTAAATTGACAATTACATCTCTGTGCTGATGTGGTATGGCGACATGAACTGATGTACATACGTACGAAGTTCTACGTTGCATCTGACTGACTGACTGACTGACTGACTGAAGTTTCATTACCAATTATCACTCACAAGATAATGTTTTTTTGAAAGCAGAGTACATGGTCTGGTTATTGGTTGGTAAGTTACAATGTTTCTTCATTCATCTTTGATTGCAGTAATTTCAAGCTTAGTTTAAAACTGGTACTATAATTTATTGGTGTTTAAAACTCTCATCTTTGTCATTTGCTCCTAGGTTGAAGTGATCAAGTTGGATAAGTTTGTGGAAGCCACAATAGATTCTGTTGATACGGAAGTTCAGATTTTAGTTGATAGTGAAGTGGAGAACCGTGAAGAAATGGTATGTTTCAGTGTATTACAAAATAAATTCTTGAAATTTTCTTCATCCTACTAATTTGCTAATTATAATTATTTGAAGTGAAACTTGTTAGCTTTGCAGTCAGTTCAGAATACTTCTGAACGTATCAATTTCGGTTTCCGGTGAACACAGTGTAAAACACTCAATGTAGATATGTTAACATTGTGATATTGTAAATTTTTTGTTGTAACAGTTATTCAACTCAGCTGTTTCAGTTGAAAGTATTTCGAATGATAAAAGTTTTATTCAAATAAAGTAATCAGGATTTCAGAGTATTTTTTTGATCGTAATTATCAGTGGATATATGTAGTGTGTAGGACCACTGAACTCATTTACCATGTACAGGTTTATGTATTTAGCTTTGAGCAACTCTTTTCGTGTTTGCTGATGTTATTACGTGGCTGATCGAATCTAGACGAACGTAGCTTGGTTTGGACCTGTGACCTACAGTCATATCCCTTATTTATATTGTATTACTGCCTTGGGTCACTGAACATTGAAGCGAGGATGTATTTAGACAAAGTAAATGAATGTTTCTACGATAACTCACCCTCACTCAGCTACTTCGCAGAACTTGATACGTGCATACATCAGTTCAAGTTGTTTTACCACATTGACACCTTACTTACTTACTTATCTTAATGATGATATACATTCATATGAGTCGTAATACATAAACTTTACGTTTATTGTTACTTCAAATAAAAGATTGTTTTAACTCTTACAGTTCATGGCGAAAGAAACATTTTTACATGTGGTAAATGATTTCACTATAAACTTTTATGTTTCTATTTATTTATCACTTGCTCTTTGTGTATTATGTCAGTGTGTATCTACTATCATTCTTTGTTTATTTTTTAAAAAAAAGATAACACGGGAGCTGTTTAATAGTTCAGTTTTTCTATTTTCTAATTCCTATCCATTTATAGGTCCCATTATCTGAGCTATCAACACTGATTGGACAATTGGTGGATTCGGAAGTTCTTATTAAAACCTTACGTAAAGAAATCAGTAGTCTTACAAATCATCAAGTAAGTTATAAATATTCCTTTATTTTTTCTATTTGACTAGTGTGTTAGAACATGCTTTTTATTTTATGTAATAAAGCTTTTTACAAACCAAATTACAAATATCATACGTCTGTATAGAATGTTCGATACTGATTTTTTTTTGTACTAACTGAAGGTTTCCTATTATGTATGATCATTTTTTTCGAGCTAATCTTTGGAATAGATTATCGTTGGTTACTTCTCAAAGAATTTATGTATGAAATTCTGGGATGACAGTAGGATGGAGGTAACTCAGTCAAGACTGTTCTGGGTGATGTAGAAACCAGTAATTTTAGATTCGAATCAATGAATTTTCGCGTGTAAAAAAGGTGATACTCACATATATTTGAGTTTGTTCACATTTAATTTGGTTAAGCCCTTCTTAACTTATTTAACAGATAGAATCATTCGCTTAGCAATAACTTAACTGTACCATTTTGCTCTTATGAGTGTTGCGTTCGCTTGAGCATTTAGGCTTGAGCATCGCTTACTGCCTGCTTGCATAAACATTCTACTCACGTTAGTTGTTAGCCCCTTAAATAATCCGAAGACTCATTCATTTTCCTATATATATATATTTAAATCCTATTTATTCGTTCATTAGCTCTCTTGCTCTTCAGCACTTGCATTTTGCTTCGTATGCGTCTGGTTTATGATATATGTGATAAGGTAATGAACGTAATCAACGCTTCGTATTCTTCTTCTGATTTATACTCCGTTCGGCAGGACGAGCAGTATATAACTTTTAGGAACTATGTCGAATACCGCCCGCCACTAAACTGGTGAGCACACATACACCACATAAGTCTTATCTACAGACTGGTTGATGAATTTTTAGATAACGCTGAACTTTGGTTACAGCTTTATTGTGAATAGCCTTCAATAATCGAGCATCCAACAAAGAACCAGCGACTATTTACTACTAGCGCATTTAAACTTTATAAAAATTGTATTCGATTAACACGAGACTTTTCAGTGAGTATGCACTTCATACACTTTCTTCTTAGGTATGATTTCCTTCAGCTGACTGACTATCTTGACTCCTGGTGACTGACGAAATCTCAGCTCGGATACAGAAGGCCCGATTGGCTTTTGCCAACCTGCGTCACTTATGGCGTAGGCGAGATATCCGTTTGCTGACTAAAGGACGAGTGTACTGCGCAGTAGTTCGCTCCGTCTTACTTTATGGCTGTGAAACATGGCCAGTGAGAGTAGAAGATATTCGTAGGTTACTGGTTTTCGATCATAGGTGTCTTCGAAGCATTGCTCGTATATCGTGGGACACCCGAGTGAGCAACGCTGTTATTAGGAAACGGGTGCTAGGTAAGAATGGCAGATCAATCGATGAAGTAGTGAAACTTCATCAGTTGAGGTGGTTGGGACACGTGTTGCGTATGCCTAACCACCGACTGCCTCGTCGAGCTTTGTTTTGTAGTGTAGGAGTAGGTTGGAAGAAAGTTAGGGGCGGCCAGACCAAAACATGGCAGAAATCCATGAAGTCATTGACTAGTGGACTTAGCCATGTCGGTAGTTGTCGACTACCTGGTTGGGGTCCGCGAGATGATAATAATCGATGGTTAGAGACCTTGAATGACATGGCTCAAAATCGTTCGCAATGGCGCCAGTGCATTTATTCTCTGTGTTCTCTCAAATGCTAATCTTCTGGATTCTTCAACCCCTCTAGTTTCGACTCTCTAAACTTTTCTCACTGAATCATACTTCTTGAGTAGTATCTTCTAATCCTAACCTCTCCGATTACTCCTAATACCGTTACTACCTCTTGTACCATTGGATTTGAATTGACGATTACATCTCTGTGCTGATGTGGTATGGCGACATGAACTGATGTACTTACTTACGAAGTTCTACGTTGCAACTGACTGACTGACTATCTTGACTCAGGTTTCATTTCTGTCAGTTGTTATTTTTATTTATGTTTCTTTTCAAATTTTCAAAGCTGAAATACACTACCATTGTGCAATACTGTGTCACTAGTTTGAAGCAAACTTCTTTCCTTCTAGTGAATACGAAATGTTTCACATTAATTTTCAATTGTAAACCAAAAATTTTATTTCAATGATAATATTCTTTGTAAATAATCCGCATTGATTAGGAATTCCATTTCACTATTTGTCATAATGGCTAGTGTTATGCAAAATCATCTGCCTTTAATGCTCACGTTTTGTTTTGAAACTTTCTCGTAGTACAGAACTACTTACTTTCTGTTCTACTATGGGATTTAACAATTACACATAGTTCTTGTGACTTTATTCAAAATATACATACATGTGACGTTTTGTATATTCCCAGTTATTTATATTATACACGAAATTTCACTTTTTTTTAGCTTTTGTACACCAAATGTAGTGTGTTACACAAAGTTTAATTTCACGTACTGAACGTTTTTATTCTCATATTAGTCGTTTTAATATTTTTTCCATGCCTATTTTACTTACTTGAAGTTTGATTCATTGAAACGCGATCCGTTTACTGAATTTCTCTGTCTCTTTTTTTTACTGTGAATTATACATTTGTTCAAACTAACACCACCACCTACTCAACAGTGTATTTGCATTACTGAGTAGTATACACTATCTAATTGATATTGCAAATGACAGGAAAAATCTTTATTATAACGTCTTATGATAGATTTTATGTATGAATGATTTATTTGTGTATATTATCTCAACCAAATTGTAATTAACAGTTATATACCATCTTTAAAACCTATGGGTTATAGTTAGAAAGCTTTATGTTCACTTACTTTCATGTTTAACCAAAGTAGTTCATTAAATTTCGCACTTTTTCATTCTGAGTCTTGTTCTGTTTTTTTTTTGCTTAGCAATATTGTTTACCTGATTGTTTTTTAATGATTTTTTTCTTTTCCAGATTGAATTACAACATGATTATGATACTGTTCACGAGATGTTAATGGAACGTGAAAATGATCTTACCGGAGTTAACGAACAACTACTAAAAGCAGAGGTAAAGTATGACTTTTTAGAGAGGAATTTGTCATTCTGGTGCAATGTTTTAGTTGCATGCATCAGTGTTTGTTCTCATCACCATTTTGTGTCTGAACTGTGACTGGTTATTTACAAATATTTATTGTATTCCTTGGTTGTTTTCCCACTTAATACAGTGACACAAATCAGATCTCAGTGTTTACTAATTATACTGAAAGCTTAACAACAATTGTTCTGACTGAATGAATAAACTGCTGGCCGGTTACCATGATACAAGTGTTTATTAACAGTTGTCTACGCAAAATACTTCGGATTCGTTGGTCAGACACGATCAGCAACAACGTACTGTGGGAGAGAACAAACCAGATTCCAGACGAGTAGGAAATCAGGAAGAAGCGTTGGAAGTGGATAGGACACACACTACGAAAAGCACCAAACTGCGTCACGAGACAAGCCCTCACACGGAACCCTCAAGGCAAAAGGAAAAGAGGAAGGCTAAGGAACACACTACGCCGAGAAATAGAGAAAGATATGAGAGGAATGAACAAACATTGGACAGAACTGGAGAGGGAAGCCCAGGACAGAGTTGTTTGGAGAAAACTGGTGGGCGGCCTATGCTCCATTGGGGGTAACAGGTGTAAGTAAGTAAGTAAGGTTACCATGATCAAAATGGATATATGCTGATGTAAATTCCAATGAAGAATTATACAACTGATTTAAAATACCTGTTTTTAGTCAACAATTATCTGCAGTATATCAGATTTATCTTTGCTTCCAGGTGTTAGGGAATCTAACCAGTTTACTATGTCAATTGATAAGTTCCTTTTCTCTAAATATTTTATTTATTTGTAGAATAAATGTAAAAGTCTCAGTAATCAATTGTTACGACGTAAAGAAGCTATTGTAGAACAAGATGAAGACTTATTCCTTCTAAATGAAGATAAAGTAAGTGATTAGTTTATTTCATATGTATTGCATGTCATGAAATGATTACACATAGACTAATTAATTATTGCTACCCGGTAGCGCTACATTACTAAGCCTTCATCTTCCTTTTCATTGCTTATTTATGTTCAACCTCACTAACTCATAAGTGAAGATCTGCTTGTTAGCTAATGAAATTGACAGGACCTGGAGTAAAATTGATCGTTGAACGGTGCTTAAACGATTAAATTCAATTTGATGAGAAGATAAATCATTCTGTAGAGATAAAAGGATAAAGCTTTTTATATTTAGTGAGAAATTAAGATCAGGTACATATGTAGTAGAGGTTTTATCAAGATG